ATTAAACTATTGAAAAATACAAAGCAAGACTTGTTGTCATAGGCTTTAGACAATAAGAAAGCCTTCTTTGACACATAATAGCCACTAACTAGGATTACATAAATTCAGATATTAATTGCACTAGATGCGGTATATGTCCTTCAAATTCGTCAAAATGGATGTGAAAATATTTTATTTAAAATGGAGAATTGGAGGAAGATATTTACATGGAACAACCCGAGGGTTTCATGGTTCCTGGTAAAGAAAAAAAAGTTTGTAAACTTGTTAAGACACTTTGTGGACTAAAAACAAGCGCTAGACATTAAAGTTACTGATGTGATTGAGAAGGTACTTGACAAGTTCAAGTATTTGGATTTCAATATTGTCAAGACTCCAATAAATGTGAGATTTGTACTTCAAAAGAATGAAGGCAAAAGTGACTCACAATTGGATTGTGCTAGAGTATTGAGACGTATGATATATATCATAAAGTATACGCGATCAGATATAGCTTGGGCTATTAGTAAACTGAGTCGGTTCACGAGTAATCTCAATTAAATTCATTGGATGACAATGAAAAGAGTTTTGGAGTATTTAAAACATACTTATAAACTATTGCTTTGCATTATAACTAATATTCAACAGTATTGGAAGAATATAGTGATGCAAATTAAATCACCAGGTCAAATGAAGAAAAATTCACGAGTGGATTTGTATTTACTCTTGGTGGAGGAGCAGTCTCTTAGAAATCTTTCAAACAGAAATTTATCACTTGCTCTACTATGAAATCTGAGTTTATCACTCTAGATAAGACTGGTGAAGAAGTTGAATGACTCCAAAATTTCTTGAAAGATTTTTGGCCCAAACCTTTTAGCTCTAGTATGCATACACAATGAGAGTTAATTTGCAATAGGTAGGGCATGGAGCATGATGTATAATGGAAAGTCTAGTCATATATGACGTAGACATAATATCGTTAAAAAACTACTCTCTAGTGGAATGATCATAATTGACTATGTAAAGTCAAAGGATAATATGACATATCCACTTATGAAAGGCCTAACTAGAGAGGAAGTTGATAGATTATCCAAGGGAATGAGACTATGGCTAAGAACAAGTCATTGTGGCTGTAACTCTACCTAGAAGACTGGAGATCCCAAGATCTAGGTTCAAGGAGATCAAACAAAGTCATTGATGACGGTTTAACATTGTCAAAAAATTTTTTATGGTTCATTCTCATGATAAGACAATGTTCAGTAACAAGGATAAAGGCATTAGGACTTTTTAATGGTTTCTAAGTTTGATACATGGTATATCAAATAGTGTATCTACGGGATAACACATTTAGAAATCACTTATGTAAGTGTGAAGTGTAAGCCGCTTCAAGGAGAATTCGGTAAGGCCAGTTCTCTACGCACTTATAAACCAAGACGTGTTCATGGCTGAAACGAACAAAACAATGAGAACCAAAAACAGTTCAAAGGGGTTGATTGTGTGACTTATGTTGTTTAGGTATACACCAAAGCTCAATGGTTCAAAGATATTAAATCTACCAATTGACCGAGTATATCCGATATATGTTCACTATGGAAAGTTCAAAGGGAAACCCACTTATCCAGATGCAATCAATCTTTACTTACGAATCACACAATTTTTCATGCATATGTTTTAACAATAGTCAATACCTATTCATGTGGGGATTGTTGGATTTTAAAGGTATGAACAAGAAATGAAGTGTTGTGACCTTTATGAAAGGTTGTGTCATTTCTAAAGGGTTGTGATCGGTTGAAAGGTTGTGTCTTTTTCAAAGTGTTGTGACCTTTCTGAAAGGTTGTCTTCTTTCCAAAGAGTTGTGACCTTTACCCTTTGTTGGCTATAAATAGAGAGACTTTCTCTCATTTTTCTGCATCGAATTCTTCCCTTCTCTTGCATACATTTCTTACAAAACAAAATCGATCGATCGTGTCTGTGTGTGTGATTCGTTGTTGTCATTTTGAGTTTGTTGAAATTATTGAAATTTTGAGGTACCGTTACTTCTTTAATGGTTAATCCATTTTTATCTTGGGAGGAATTAATCTGCAACCTCGAGTACTTGAGGGGATTAAATTTCTTAAGGACACACAGTGGGTTCTGTGGACTCGGATAGTTCTTTGTTTTTCTTTTCATCTTTTATTATTTCTGGTTTGCTAATCTGAATACAGGAGATAACAAATACTTTTATATTTAGATGAAGAGACTTAAATGTAAGTTTTATAGAGTGGTGGTTAGACTGATTTTGTTGTATGGGGCGGAATATTGGCCAATCAGGAACTCTCATATTCAAAAGATGCATGTCATGGAAGTGAGGATGTTGAGGTGGATGTGTGGGCATACAAGGGGCGACAAGATTAGGAATGAGGGTATCTAGCTAGGATAAGGTGGCAGGGAGATACCTCCGTGGTGGAAAAGATGAGGGAAGTGAGATTAAGATGGTTTGGGCATGTGAAAGGGAGATGTGCAGACCCCTGGTGAGGAGGTGCGAGAGGTTGGTTATAGTAGGTACGAGGAGAGGTAGAGGTAGACCAAAGAAGTATTAGGGAGAGGTGATTAAACAGGATATGACACAACTTCAAGTTACCGAGGACATGACCTCAGCTAAGAGGGTGTGGAGGATGTGATTTAGACTTTTAGGGTAGAAGGTTAGTAGATAGTGCAGTGTTGTTTTATATTGTGCAGCATCTGATAGCACAGATTATACACTCACTTCTTATTCCTCACTTCCTTGTGCAACACATATATTTATATATCTAACATTTTCGTGATTTTCTTTGGCTGCAGCAAAAAGAAAGTCGAAACGAATTCTAGTTGCAGGTAACTATCTATAGCTACAAATGTGCTACCGTTGCATAAAAACACCTACACACACAGATAAAGAGAACGTTCTTCACGGGAACGTTATTATGCTGATAAATATAGTATCCTGCAGAACTAGTGCAACTTCAAAAATTGACAGCAATCTTCCAATTTGTGTCTTGACAGCAGCAGTTACTTCTTCTATTGGGGGAATTGCAATGTTAGTTGTCCTATTCCTCTACTTAAGAACAAAATGCTCCTTCATTTCCTGGAAGACAAAAGGAGAGGATTACAGAAATGTAAAAGCCTTCTTGAAGAACCATGGATCACTCGCACCAAGGAAGTACAGTTATTCTGAAGTTAAAAAGATGACTGAGTATTTCAAAAACAAACTTGGTCAAGGAGGCTATGGTTCCGTGTATAAGGGAAAGTTGCATACCGGAAGTCTTGTGGCAGTCAAGGTCTTGAAGGAATCGAAGGGCGGGGGAGAAGAGTTTATCAATGAGGTAGCAAGTATCAGTAGGACTTCTCATATTAATATTGTATCACTTGTGGGATTTTGTTTTGAGGGTCAACACAGAGCTCTCATTTATGATTTCATGCCCAATGGGTCCCTTGAGAAGTTCATTTACGATGCAAAATGTGGTACAAATCGTCAACTAGGTTGGCAAACATTGTACGATATTTCACTTGGCATTGCTAGAGGATTGGAGTATCTGCATCGCGGTTGCAATACTAGAATCCTTCATTTTGATATAAAGCCTCACAACATTCTTCTTGATGAAGACTTTTGTCCAAAAATATCCGATTTTGGCCTTGCAAAACTATGTAACAATAAGGAAAGCATTGTGTCTTTATTGGGCGCGAGAGGGACTATGGGCTACATTGCACCAGAAATTGTGTGTAAAAACATTGGAGGAGTTTCTCACAAGTCGGATGTGTACAGCTATGGTATGATGGTACTCGAGATGGTTGGAGGAAGGAAAAATGCTGATACCAGTGAAATATACTTTCCACACTGGATTTACAAACAAATTGAACAAAAGAAAGAGCTTGGATTAACTGGCATTGTAGAGGAAGAGGATAAAAAACTTGCAGAAAAGATGATACTGGTGAGCCTGTGGTGCATCCAAACCGATCCGTCCAGCAGGCCTTGTATCAGTATGGTCATAGAGATGTTACAAGGTGAACTCGAATCTTTGCAAATGCCTCCGAAGCCTTTCTTGTATTCTTCTTCAGTGTCAGACAGTGACATGCCTACTACCACCTATATGATTCAAGACTCGAAAGATCAAGTTTGATGATCTAGACTTGTCAAATTATGTATGTATTATTTTGGATTAATTAAGATATCACACAAACTACTTTTGGTAAGTTAATTCCATTGTTACCAGAATTATATATCACTCTAAAGTGAATAGCACTTTGATATATGCGTTTTGCCAATCGATCAACTGTGGTTAGTCTTCTATGTAGAGCTAACCAAAGAGTGAACTGATGTCAGCACCTTACCCTTGCTGCAGTCCTGTCCAAATACAGACTTTTAGTTTTACCAAACGCGTAGATAAGCCAGGCCGTGCTTATAAGTTTAGTCGGGATTGGCTTAAATAGAAGCATAAAGATAAGCCAATGGACATAGTAGTTTCAATAGCAAGTCTTATAATTTAGACAGGACAGGAAGTGACTTTGCTGCATTTTCATGAAATGTGATCAACTACTTTTCCTACTTCCTTTGGGAATGTACTCGTAAGCAAAAAGGAGTTCACCATGCATCCATAAACGGAATTATACTTTTGGACTCATTATAATTTAATTAGAGTTGAAACGTTGATCGACTATTAAATCAAAGTTGGAATAAACTAACCAAAAAGCTGTAAAAAGTAGAATTTCTCAGCTGAAAATCCATTTTTTTCCAACAGCAACATTAAATTAGTCCTACTTTGGGATAAGTGTGGCTTACTAGAGTGGTTGAACATATTTATCGTTAATCAATGAATTGAGTGTTTGAGTCACGCTAAAAAATAAGTGAAAATATATTTTACCATTCAAAGTTGTAGAAGCTGAAAATTCCAAGCGTTTATTTAAATATATATGGTGTAGAAAAAGTGGAAGAAGAAAATATATGCACAAAATGGCAGAGATTATAGAGGAGTATCAAATTAATTTTGAATATCTTATAGGAGTTGAGAATGGTAGCTTTAGATTATTTGTCAGTTTTCTTGATTTTCTATCTCTTGGTTATGTTTAATTCAGCTGAAGCTCCGAATCAAACCCAAAATAATAGTAGTAGCTGCCTCAATGAATTCAAGTGTGGGAGTCTTGGTAATGTGAGTTTTCCTTTTTCTGTATCTTCACAACCTGCTTGTGGATTGTACACTATAGATTGTGATGTTACTCCCAATCCAACAATTCGTCTCGGAGAAAATGTTTATAGTGTTCTGGAAAAACGGTTATTAGATGGTTTTCGAGTTTTAGACCATGGGCTTGAGGACTTATTGGCAAAAAACAGTTGTCAATCTTTCGATAGAAGTATATCATTTCCAAGTTCTCCTTATATCTCTTTCAGAAGCAACAAACGCAATGTTACCTTGTTCAGATGCAACAACAGTCGAGATATTGATAGGAACATGAATGATCATTATTTTTGCGAATATCAGAACTATACTAAATGTAGTGGCTTCAGCTTATACTACAAGAATCCAAATAGAGAACAGGAAGGTTCCTCGGATGCACCAGAGAGAGATATTCCGAAGAACTGTTCAATGATTCAATTGCCAATTACATGGAAGTCACCGTCAAAAGGTCAGAATAGTAGCTTGTTTGATCTCTTAACTGCGAATTATTCAATTCAGTGGAGCCTGTCTGATGATTGTAGTAATTGTTACTATGGAGGAGGTCAATGTTTAACTGACAGCAATAACAAATTTCTTTGTTCCACCACTCCCAAAGGTAAATTTTACTTCCAAACAGCAGTTAATAAACAAACATACTGGACCTGGACTCCTATATTTATATATCTAACATTTTTGTGATTTTGTTCAGCTGCAGCAAAAAGAAAGTCGAAACGAATTTTAGTTGCAGGTAACCATCTATAGCTACAAATTTCCATTTCATAACACAGATAAAGAGTACCTTCTTCACTGGAATGTTATTATGCTGATAAATATAGTAGGCATAATACATAAATATTCCTTTTAACTTGGCCTCAGCTGGCATCTATGCCCTCCAACTTTGGTTGTGCACAAAGAAACACTTAATTTGTATAGAGTGCAATAAACATACATATGTGTCCTATATGAAATGTCACGTAGGATGAGTTTGTCTACTTGTTCAACTCTATACAAGTTCAAGTGTCTACTTGTGCATACTCAAAGTTGGAGGGCATAGATTCCAAATGAGACCAAGTTAAAAGGCACGTTCATGTATTATGTGGATATATAATCCTGCAAAACTGGTGCAACTTCAAACACTGACAACAATCTTCCAATTTGTGATAGCAGCAGTTACTTCTTCTATTGGAGGAATTGCAATACTAGTTCTCCTACTCCTCTACTTAAGAACAAAATGCTCCTTCATTTCCTGGTAGACAAAAGGAGAGGATTACAGAAATGTAAAAGCCTTCTTGAAGAACCATGGATCACTCGCGCCAAGGAAGTACTGTTATTCTGAAGTTAAAAAGATGACTGAGTATTTCAAAAACAAACTTGGTCAAGGAGGCTATGGTTCCGTGTATAAGGGAAAGTTGCATACCGGAAGTCTTGTGGCAGTCAAGGTCTTGAAGGAATCGAAGGGCGGGGGAGAAGAGTTTATCAATGAGGTAGCAAGTATCAGTAGGACTTCTCATATTAATATTGTATCACTTGTGGGATTTTGTTTTGAGGGTCAACACAGAGCTCTCATTTATGATTTCATGCCCAATGGGTCCCTTGAGAAGTTCATTTACGATGCAAAATGTGGTACAAATCGTCAACTAGGTTGGCAAACATTGTACGATATTTCACTTGGCATTGCTAGAGGATTGGAGTATCTGCATCGCGGTTGCAATACTAGAATCCTTCATTTTGATATAAAGCCTCACAACATTCTTCTTGATGAAGACTTTTGTCCAAAAATATCCGATTTTGGCCTTGCAAAACTATGTAACAATAAGGAAAGCATTGTGTCTTTATTGGGTGCAAGAGGGACTATTGGCTACATTGCACCAGAAATTGTGTGTAAAAACATTGGAGGAATTTCTCACAAGTCAGATGTGTACAGCTATGGTATGACGGTACTCGAGATGGTTGGAGGAAGGAAAAATGTTGACGTTGTCGTTGATCGTACCACTGAAATATACTTTCCACACTGCATTTACAAACTGGCATTTTATTTTTGGGATAATACATATATTTGACCTTAAACTTGGCTTCAAATTTTAACTTTGACCTCCAACTTTCATAGTGCACAAATAGACACTTAAACTTGTATAAAGTAGAACAAGTAAACACACGAGTCCTACATGGCACAATACACGTAGGACACCACGTAGGACAAAAAATGCCATGTAGGATGCCATGTAGGTCATGTGTGTCTATTTGTTCAACTTTATACAAGTTTAAGTGTCTATTTGTGCACTATGAAAGTTGGAGGTCAAAGTTAAAATTTGAAGCCAAGTTTAAGGTCAAATATATGTATTATCCCTACAAACAAATTGAACAAAAGAAAGAGCTTGGATTAACTGGTATTGTGGTGGAAGAGGATAAAAAACTTGCAGAAAAGATGATACTGGTGAGCCTGTGGTGCATCCAAACCGATCCGTCCAGCAGGCCTTGTATCAGTATGGTCATAGAGATGTTACAAGGTGAACTCGAATCTTTGCAAATGCCTCCGAAGCCTTTCTTGTATTCTTCTTCAGTGTCAGACAGTGACATGCCTACTACCACCTATATGATTCAAGACTCGAAAGATCAAGTTTGATGATCTAGACTAGTCAAATTATGCATGTATTATTTTGAATTAATTAAGATATCATATAAACTACTTTTGGTAAATTAGTTCCATTGTTACTAGAATTATAGAGCACTCTAAAGTGAATAACACTTTGTTATATGCGTTTTGTGAATCGATCAACTGTTTTTAGTCTTCTATGTAGAGCTAAACAAAGAGTGAACTGATGTCCAGCACCTCACCCTTGCTGCAGTCCTGTCCAAATACAGACTTTTAGTGTTACCAAACGCGTAGATAAGCCAAGCGGTGCTTATTAGCTTAGTCTGATTGGCTTAAATAGAAGCACAAAGATAAAACAATGGCTAGTAATTTCAATAGCAAGTCTTATAATTCAGACAGGTCAGGAAGTGACTTTGCTGCATTTTCATGAAATGTGATCAACTACTGTCCCTTTGGGATTGTACTCGTAAGCAACGAGGAGTTCATCATGCATCCATAAACGTAATATTACTTTTGGATTTCATTATATTCTCAAGGCATGTTCACAAACTATTTTTGTACACCAAAGTTTACTTGGTAAAGGCGATTCTATAGTAGTGGCCAACATGATCAAAGACAAGGTAACCAAAACTTGAAGTTGAAAGGAATCATTCGAGACATTGACCATGCCACGAATGAAGCACTTCCCACTGCTATAGAGAAGCCAACGAAATAACTGACTTCTTAGCTAAACAGACATCTTCGAGTGGAAGTGGTACCTTCTATTATTCTTTTCATCAATTCACTAAAGAGGGGAAGGGACTATTTCTACTAGATAAGTGGCAACGATCCCTAGCATAAGGAGAAGATACAACAAATGTAATTGTTTTTGTTAGTTGAACCATTGTATTTTGCTTATAGTATGAAAGTCTATGTCATATTTGCCATTCTGTAGATTGTTTAGTTTATCCTCATTGTTCTCTATTAGAATTATAGTATAAATTTCCCCTTTTCTTTCATAACTTTTTGGATGTTTATAGACATGGTACGGGTCAAGCCTAACCCCCCACATCGTTAAGGTGATGGCTTGCTTACAAAAAAGGCTTCTCTATTTTTAATACATCTCTGATACAATTAGGTATTGAACTCATAAACAAGCAGAGAGCAAAAAAAGAATGAGAAGAGAGTGAAAGCTAAAAAGTAATGAAGTTAGCTTTAATATTGAAGGAATTTCACCCGCTAATACTAACTGTGCTAGAGCAACTAAACCACTTATCATTCACAGAATTCGTCGAAACAGGTAATTTAGATTTCATCAATTGTGCATCATCATTTTCTGATTCAGGGTCCTGAGGGACTTCTACATTATCAACGACGTTAATCTCTTCTTTCTTCTGGTTTTCAAACTCACCACTCTGAATTGCCTTTAGAATTTCCAACACTTCATCCATTGTTGGCCTCATTTCCTTCTCGAGTTGGAGACATTGAAAAGCTAGCTCTGCAACTGAAGTAGTCATTCTCCTAACTTCAGCATTGGACTCGTAACCAAGAGATGGATCGATCAACTCCTCGAATGCACATTTCAAAATCTTGCTTACTGCAAAGTTAGCCAAACTAATTTCATCCCTATGCCTTCTTATATCCACAGCAAGGAGCGACGATATGAGCTCAATAAGGACAACTCCAAAGCTATACACATCACTTTTACTAGTTAGCTGATAGCAAGCATGATAATCCGGATCAACATATCCTGGTGTCCCCTGTGGAGCAGTTGAGATATGAGTCACATCATTTGGAAAAAGTCGCGAAAGCCCAAAATCTGCAACTTTGACACAGAAATTGTTGTCAAGTAGAATGTTACAAGTCTTGACATCGCGGTGTATTATGTCAGAAGCATGGAGATAAGCTAAAGCACTAGCAGTTTCTATAGCAATCTTCATGCGTATAGGCCATATAAGGGCTCCGTTCTTTGCTTTCTCGCCATGGAGATGATCAGCAACTGTTCCATTCGGGATGTATTCATAAACCAGGAGGAGTTCACGACTATGCCTTGACGTGCACCCATAGAGCATAACAAGATTCTGGTGCCTTAAGCGAGTAAGAATTTCAATTTCATTCTTAAATTGCACCATCCTCTTGGAACTTTGCTCATAGAGGCGTTTCACTGCAACTTCTCGTCCATCACGAAGTTTACCTAATAAAAGAAGTACATTGTTAGCTGCTGAATCATGTTACCAAACCATTGCATTCTTAATACAGTAATGCAAAACTCTGCCTAATGCTTTTCTAAATATGATTCGAAATGTCATGATTGATTTACGTGGTTTATTACCATAGTACACAGTTCCAAAACCTCCGTCTCCAAGCTCTTGGGAGGGATCAAAATTATTGGTGGCTTCTTGGAGAGTAGAGTAGGAGAAGACGGGGACCCCAAAGTACTTGCTATCCCCTTCAAGATCTTTTCTTGAAGGATCAGAAAATGTATTTCTTGTGAAAGAGTGAGAACGACAGCCTTTTCCTTTCTTGAAACGCCAGATAACAATACCAAGACAGATTAAAAAGGTCAAGCCAATCACCACAGGTAAGACTGAAGCAAATGCAGAGAAACTAATCAGAATTTGTTTGAAAAATGGCTACAGAAAAGTAGACAGAATTCGACGAAAGCTGGCATTTCAAAGTAAGGAACATGCTTGAGAACATGTGGTTATATGAAAAAGATTTGAAGTTATAGATTGTTACCTACAATTAGAACTCGTCTCGACTTTCTTGTTACTGCAACCAAACCAAATCACGAAAAAGTTAGATAATTATTGCACGCGGAGGAGGAACTGAGAGTTAAGTATGACAAGCTTATGCTGCTATACTAAATTCAGAACAAGATCAATATGAAGAAGCTACAGACATAAATCCTGCAGGCGATTTGTCCCACGTTACACAATGGAAACAAGCAGAATATTTGTGTTTCATTATTTTCAATCAGCATAATACATAAAACAGACACTCAAACTTGGCCTCAGCTGGCAAGTAAGCACTCCAACTTCGAGTATGCACATCTAGACACCTCAACTCGTCTCCTCCCTGTCAGTTGAACACTCCAACTTACAAAATGATCATCTTACACACCTCCAATATTTATGTGTCACGTCAGTAGCAGGTGTCCACGAGACACACTAGGGACGAGTTGGAGTGTCCAGTTGAGACCAAGTTGAGGTGTGTAGATGTGCACTCTCGAAGCTGGAGTACAAAAACTAGAAGCAACTATTCAAAGTAGAATTAGACAAAGCTCAGAGTATTGTATATGACAAGCATATTGCAAATAAAATATTACCTGTGGAACAATGAAATCTATTGTTGCTATCGGTTAAACATCGACCTCCTTGATAGTGACATTTACTACAATCAACAGACAGGCTCCACTCAATCACAAAATTCACAGTTAACAGATCAAACAAGCTACTATTCTGATCATTTGGCTGTGAAGTGTTCCATGTAATTGGCAATTGAATCGGAGAACAGTTATCCGGAATATCTTCTTCTGGTGTATCAGAGGAATTTCCCCGTCCTCTACTAGGATACTTGTAGTATATACTAAAGCCACTACATTTAGTATAATTCAGATATTCGCGAAAATAATTATCACTCATGCTTCTGTTGATATCTAAACTGTTGTTGCATCTAAACAAAGTAAGATTTCGTTCATTGATTCTAAACGAGACAGAAGGAGAATTTGGAAACGATATACTTCTATCGAAAGTTTCACAACTGTTTCTCGTCAATAATTCCTCAAGCCTATGATCTAAAACTCGAAAACCATCAAAGTTTCGTTGTCTCAGAACACTATAAACATTTTCTCCGAGACGAATTGTTGGATTGGGAGTAACATCACAATCTATACTGTACAATCCACAATCAGGTTGTGAAGATACAGAAAATGGAAAACTCACATTTCCAAGATTTCCACATTTGAATTCATCCACACAACTGCTGTTATTTTGAATTTGATTCTGCGCTACAACTGAAGCAAACATCACCATTTGATACGAAATCAAGAAAATTGATAAAGAATTTAATGATACCATACTCAAAAAAAATATTGTATACTATACTATAGTTTTTTCTTTCTTCTGCATTTATGTATAGTTATTTTTTTGTGCACCACATATTTGTATGTATATTTATCCGTTTAACACGTTAGTTGACTTGGAATTTTGAACTGTTATGACTACTTTAAGAAAGAATCAAAAAGGAGGGCTGAAAAATAGAAAGACATCACCGACTTTTGTACATTTGACTAGACATTTTTAAGACTTTTCAATATTTTGTTTTGACATTATTTTTTTAAAAAAAGTTGCAAAGTCTATAGCCATCTCTTTCTATGAATTTTGGAAGAGAAAAATGAGAATCACTATTGAGTTTGTGTTCTCTCTTTTAAGTCTATAAAGAGAGATAGAGACAAGGGGAAGTTTGACAAATATTTATAGAGTTATATTATATATAACACTGACTCATGTATATTCTTATTGTTATACTAGTTTCAAAACGCACGTGTGTCTCATGCAATATGTTATAAATTCGTTAGAACGATTAAAATTCAATAAAAACATGTGTGTAATGAGTACTAAAATGCAACAATCTCAAATAAGTGTATTGATAAAAGTTTATATAAAATTAAATTAAAGAAGACTAATAGAGAAATATAAAAAACAAAACATAGAAGAAAAAAATAACATACACATCCTTCTAAGACTTTAATCATAACATTATATAAATGAAAAAGAAATACAAAATCGGTACATAATTTTCCAAGTTTTTGTCGACACCTTCTCTCATATCCAATCAAAATTCAAAAGTCTTCTCCATCGAGTAAAATTAAAGCATGAATCAAATAGAAAAATCACTTTATTTTCGTAAAGTGATAAATAATCAGACTAAGGTAGATATATCATATACTTTAGATGTTGATGGCTTCACTACTTTAACTATAAAATGAAAAGGATAATTTTGGATATGAGTTTCATGAAACAAAAAAGATGAATTTATATAGATAAAAATAGAGGAATACCAAAAGACATCTTAAAGTTTTAAATTAAATACTATTTGAAGGTTTCAAAGGGCCAAAATAGATAAAAGAGAACAACTTTAAGAATATTAAATATATGCATGAACCTCCATTAAAATCTGGAAGAGTAAACAATCCTCCTTTGAACACATGAACTCCCCATTATGTAATAATTGATTATCACTAATATTTAAAAATGTAATTAACTAAATATTTATAATATTTTAATCTAGTGTAGGGGCAAAATGGTATTTCAACTTTCAACTTTTTTTGTTTCCACTTTTAGTCATATATATATATATGATAAATGATGTAGAACTATCATTTTCGTCTAACGGAAGTTAAAAGATTGAGTTTTTTTTTTGTTTAAAAAAGAATTTGTGTTGGTGTATATTTGATTACCTTTATGAAATAGTGGTAAAGTTTGCGTACAGTTTATCACTACATACATCATTAGTTTTAATATCACAAAATTCAAAGTTTCTCTATTTTAATTAAGCCACTTATAAGGACTCATTTGGCCATGATAATTTTTTAATTTTCACTTTATAATTTTTTCTTTTTCAAATTTATCCTAAATTTTATTTTTATAAAATAACCTCATTTAAATCGTATTTCATGTTTAAATAATATTTTATGTATTTTTTCAAAAACATAAACTCAAATTTTAAATATTTATTACAAAAAGCATAAATAAACATAATTTTAACTCCAATTTTCAATTTTAATAAATTTAAATAATTAAAGATTTTTTTTAAATTTTATTTTCATGACCAAACGCCAACTTGTAAATTGATATAAATAGAGTAAGCACTTTTGACTATGAGGAGTTTGGCCAAACAGGTTGTTACAATCTAGTGATACTAGTAGGAGTCTCCCACAAATTAGGTATGATTTAAATTCTCATTATTTCACTCTCTTGTTTTCCTATTGAATAAAAAAATATTAAAAATAAACATTTTTATCGACCGTGAAGCAACCAATTAGATTTTTTTTTTAAGAAAAATAAAATATTGTGCTGGTGTAACAATATTAGCCATCGTAATTGTTATTATGATTTTTGTATGAGAAAATTAAATTAAATAGTGAAAATAAAATAATGTAGTGATTATTTATGAAATTTAGCCTAAATTTCTCAAGTGGCTGTTTTGTGCCCCACCATCAAGTTGTGTTTGTTTTGTCAATTTATGATCATCAAAGTTGGAGAATCAATGGAAAGATGAATAGATAATTCACAAAGGCCAAAACTTAGTCTATATTTGTATACCTTGTGTCATAATATATATCCCAATGGTTGGAAAAATAAGGCACACAATGCAGACAAGTTAAAGATGGATTAAACAAATTAAAAATAGATCATAATCTAACTAACATATATTTTAGACAGGTTAAAATGGATTGAATTAGTAAGTGGTTATTTCGTGTCGATCAGATACAAAAATGAGAAAATATAATCTTCACATAAAATCTGACATAAGTTACTATATGATATTTGATTGATTTTTTTCCACATAAATTATAGCATTGTTGATGCAATGCCTGGTTCATGTTTTTCTTTTCCACCTAACTAATACATGTGCATAAAACTTATCAAAAAATCTATAAAACATATATATGATAAATAAAGATTATGGTAAAATAAGTCTTATGGTCCGGCTATGTTAGTTTTATTTTTACGTGTGTATTCTTGTGTATGAATAGATAGTCATCTCATTTGTGTGTCTCTCTCCCTGTGAATTTAATATGGTATCAGAGTTATACTAACAAGATTACATAAAGCCTAGATCACGTGATCATGGTCGGAGACAACGACAAAGGGATCGGACGATTTCACCGTACGACATCACATCAAATGACAACCCTAAAATTGTGATAACACTAGTCCAATTGAAGGGTAAAATTTATGAGGGATGAGCTATGTCCATGAGGATGATACTTCGAGCAAGGGCGTGAAAATTCTCCCAAATATCGCAGTCTCCTTCGTGTTTTTCTCTCCCTTTAAAATTAGCAGAATTTATATGTTATTTTATACAGAGTAGAAGATGAAACTAACATAATAATAACTATATATATTATGTATATCTGAATCCTATATTACTAATACTCGTATAACTTTAGCCAACAACCAAACGACCCCTAAAAGTTTGGGTTAAAACTTAAATATTAGAGTATTAGGTAGTCACTTTCATGTTTCCAATCTAATTTGAAGATGGAGCAATGTAACACACAAGTTAGAGTATCATTAAACTACCTAGTAGATACTTTAAGGTTATCAATCTTAATTTTGGCAAGGGAGCAATGTGATACACAAGTAGTACTATTGAAAGAACTTCATTTGTTTGTATTATGTGAGGAGAGGGGCGGAAAGATTGACGCTTTATTACTTGACTAGAGGTGATCAATGAGCAGGTTGAATCAAATTTGAACGTATCAAAGTAAATTCAACCAATAATTGAGTCGTGACTCAAACTAACCAAAGTTTCCTCGAGTCAATATGGACTAAATGACATGTTATAACTCAACCCGCCCAAATTTATAAGTCAAATTTGCCTTTCTATTTGCCACATAGTTTATGAAATACACATTATCTTTTTCTGGATTTTAGATGTTTGTAAATTTATATTACATTTACAAAGAAATGAAAGGGGTAAGGGGCTAGCATAATCAATTAATATCACTTCTCATTTTTAAAATTTAAACTTAAAAAAAATTATAATATAAAAGAAATTAAATGAATATCAATATGCAAAATTTGAACTTATATCAACATTTTCATGTAAAATTGATATTAGTTTTCAATCAAACATACTTTATAAATATCAAAATGATAACTCAAAATAATAGAATAATTTCAAAGACCTCCCCTCAGTCCTCGGGTATTGTACTATCTCGCTAACCTCCCTCGCAATTTACGATATTATGTTTACCTTTTGTAAATCGAAGATCAAACAATTTTTTCAAGAAAATTGTCTTCCTTTTCCATCTATAATAGAGTGGGAAGAGAATATATTCAAAATAATATTATACAAAAAAATAGTAAAAGTTTGATTAAATTAAAGTAAAACTTCCAGAAAACCAAACATTACTTGAAAGAGAGTCTTCAGTGAGGTCCACCAACAATGTGAGCCAGGAGTTTGAATCCAATGACTTTGAAGATGGACCATCTTGATTTTTCGACCATCAATAAAATTTGTTAAATTAAAAATAAAAATATATAAACGTGTTTTTTAATCTGGACTTATTTGATATTTTTGTCTTTCAATTTTGAGTGTACACATATAAGTATTCAAACTTGTATAGAGTTGAACAAGTAAATATACGCATCCACTTGATATTTTACATGACAATCAATGAACATCCTACACGGCATTCTACGTAGAATCGTCCTACATGTATTATATGTGTGTCTACTTGTTCAATTTTATACAAATTTAAGTGTCTAATTATGTACACTCAAAATTGAAGGACATAGATACGAGTTGAGGTGTATTATGAAATAAGCTGAGCGAAAAAAAGTTAAAAGACCCACACAATTTGGGCCAGTACATCAACAAATTGTGTAGAAAAGTATACTCAATTATATATGATAAATTTGTGTTACAAAATATACTTTTCTATTTATTACCCATCGAATTAGCTTATCTGGAAAAATCATGATAAAAAATAAATTCTTATTAAAATATTGAGAAACTTCTTAATTTTTGCATATGAAAATGCTAGTACTATTTTTTTTCTTTTCTTGATATTTCAATCAGAAAAATATTTATAGAAATAGATCAAATAGTGACTAAATATTTTTTAGTGAAAAATCTAATTTCTAAATGGAAAAATAGTGATTTTTTTAGCATGGGACAATTGGGACTAGAGTTTCACTAAACTTTTAACTCCTCAATAAATATGGTGTTCATATCATACAATGAACTTGATCGTATTTAGAAAAGTATTAAGTTATGTTTTATGCTATAATATGTGTGTTGTCTTGATATTTTGGGTACTAACAAAAATAATAATAATAAACTTGTTAGGATAAGGAGAAGAAAAAAATTTGAATTAAAA